TATAAAGGGTGAACTATACGAAGCAGATAGATAGATAGATAGATAGATATAGCCAATTTTTCATCAGGAAAAACATTAGGATTTTAGGGGCCGCGAACGTTCAGTTGATTAATGCAATTTGTCTAAAATAAGAACTCCCCTAGCCATTCGTCTGGACCTGTGGAGTGGTTTCGGCTCGAGTTGGAGAGAAAAAGGGAATCTCTTTCTTCAGTCTATTGTGTTAGTCCTTGAGTGGAGCTACCCTCCCTAAAATGCGCTATTCTTGTTTCCATAGCACCAGACGGCCTCAGACTTTGTGGCGGGAGGAGTTCTTAGCTTAGACAAACTATAAAATGTCTACTATTTAATTATTTGTTTCCCAATTTTTCGTTCAAAATTTTACTCAAATAACTAATTTTATTAAGAAATTTATGAGGAAAAAATTGGTCAAAATGTGTATCGATTTAAGATTAAATCAGTCTTTTTGAACTTAAATTTCGTTTTTTCAACAGATATTTAGATCGAAAAATTAGACAAACTGATGGTTTCATTCCCGACAAGGTAAGATTGAATCAAATTTATATGCTTTTTTTTTTTTTTTTTTTTTTTTTTTTTTTTTTTTGATTGAAACAAGAAATTATGGGAAGAAAATGCAGTTCTATACTTGTACTTAGAGTGATATGTATTAACTTTTGCTTTAAAAGAAAGCATTGCCGTCTTTAAAAAAAATGATTTTTCTATATTTAGAAAAGTATAATTTCAATAAAACTGAAAATATAATAAAAACATATTATTAAAGAAAAACCTAAATATATTGCGCTTGAATGTAAATTTCTTTTGAAAAAATATGTGAAGTAGATAGCTTAGACTTCTGTAAAAATAATACAAAAAAAAATTTAAAAATTTCCTTTTTTAATAGCATGATTTTTCATAATCACCATGATTTTAAAATTCTTGTCAAAAATATGAAATAAAAAAATATGATCATTTGAACTCACTCATAATAAATAGAACTCACTAATAATTAAGGGAAGAAAAATTTAATGAGCGTGTTTTAACAAAATCACTTGTTTGATTTCATTTTTTTCTTTTTCGTTTAAATGATATTTTTCATACCCTAAGGGCATACTTTTCAACTTCATTTTAAAATATGCATGCCAAAAATTAATATTAAGAGCGGTGATTGTGGAATACTGTCCTTACGCATCATATTTCACTATATATTTTTTTCAGAAAACAGATCTACGCACTCATTATGAAAAATTCCTCATAAATAGATATATAAATTTGCTATAGTGTATGCTATACTATCGATGTTATTATAGATTTTTGTTATGTTATAGATTTAAAAAAAATGAAATCTTCTTTGTCGCTATAAGTTTTTATAGTTTTTTTTCTCTGTAAGAGATATAAATATCATTTTTATTTTCCCTTCAATTCCTATTGAAACAGCTTCGTCCTATTATATTTTGAAATTTAAAAATTGTTTAAGATTATGATAAAATAATTTTTTTTTTAATTTTATAAAAATATTTTAAAAACTGAACTGAAAGAAATATAAATATAAAAAAATATATTTAGAGGCGTCTTATTTAAAAATTAATTTATTTTATTAATTTTCTTAATTAATTTTCTTTATTTTTCTTCCAAGGAAAAGAGTTTAACTAGATGTAATCAGAAGAGCATAGATTTGATATTAAAACCTATTTGATTCAAAATACTTTATTCCATTTTTAACAAAATGTGTATAAAGTATAATTTAAAATAACCATGAACCATGGATCTATTCATAAATATCTAACTCAATATGAAATGCTTTGTTAAGTGATGTATTTTGCCATTCCGGTTCTGAAAATATATTAAAGTGGCTTAAAATTCATTAATTAACTGTTAAGTATTAATTGTTTAATTGCTGAAAGCATTAGTTGTTTAAAATCGGGAGGAAGAGCACATTTTGCGGGCAATTAAATTGTAAAACATCACGATTAAATGGGATGATTCTGTGTATTGCGTTGCTATCTAATGGAAATGTAGGAAGCTACTGAAGTACCTATCTGGAAACAGTACTAAGGAAAAGTCAAATGTTTTAAAAATTTTAATGCATAAAACCGTTTTAATGTATTAATGTATCTCTCTTCATGTTTGTTGCATTATTAAAATTAATTGAAAAAATTATACCATTCTAAAAAAAAATATTTTTATCACTATATTATCTCAAGCCTTTCAAGTATTGTTCATAAATTCTATTCAATGTTGTTTTTCTAGTTCGAAGATAGAAATATATGCTTTTGGTATGTGCCTCCAAGCTTAAGGGGTAAAGAAAATGAGCCAGATTTTTGGGATAAACTTTCAAAGGTATGTAAAAAAAGGTACTTTGTATATTTACTTGAGCATATATTTCACAATTGGTACCATTAAATGTCCAGCAAACAATTCTCGAAAATTTTTAATCATTCTTGAAAGTTGATATGAAATAGCTACTCGCTTTGCAGATTTCGTTTTGTGTCTTGTTCTGTTTTTTCCTTACATTTAATTTTCTGTTTTTTTACGTGATATTTATTACTAGATATGTTCAATATTTTTTTTGAGTGCTCCTCACACTACTGTATTGATATATTTTGCTTTCGCTATATTGATACTTATTAGAAAGCACTTCTTTTTGCGGTTATAATCGTGCGAGCTGATGAAGAGATTATATTCCCCCCCCCCGGATTTTTATTGATATTTTTAAAAAAAAATTATTGTAATGTTATTTCATTTTTAATTTTTCTCCTTATATTTTCATTATTCTGCAATATAGTTTTGCAGTGATTGCATATTATTACCTAAAAATTCGAGATTAAAAGTGATTCAGGTGTTGCTTCTTGTGTACATTTTGATGTTTGTAGTAATCGACTAATATAAATCTTTTCTTCCAGATCCCCCCCATTATCAAAAGCCGAGCAAAAAAGGAAGGTACAATGATAATAAGCTACCAACCATTATGTTCTAAAAATTGGGTGAATTTCTTAAGAGTGGTGGTACAGGCTATCCCCACATTAACTGAAAAATAAATGGATAGAATTATCACTCTCATTCAGAAATATGGAGAAGATTTGTAACAATTAACTTAAAACCTCATTACATCCAACAGGATGAGTTGTATCGTTTATATCATGTTTTAGCACTTAAAGGAACTTGCATTGTACAGCACCATCCGAATCATGTATGCTTGGATGTTCTCTAAAGACCACCTTTAATTAATTTTTTTAAAACCCTTTTTAAAATGAAGTAAAAATTAAGTTTGCACATTAGGTTTCGCCATTAGATATTTAAGCAGGAAAAAAATGCTATTAAATTCTAATAAATCTTTTTCTGAGGATGACTTCACTAGAATCAGCAAAGTTTGTTTGATTGTTGAAGAAATTTCGGAGATGTTAATCAATTTTCAACTTCTCTCTTTAATGTTTTTATTTGCAACATTTCTTAGATTATTCTTATTTCTTAAATACGCTAGATTTCGATATCTTTTTTTAATTTTTCCTCTCAATATTGTTAAATTGCTATCCATAATGTGTACTTTTCTAGCTTCATTTCTTCAATTCTGATGAAATTTTTCTTCTTCTTTACTCAGAAGCTTCATTTCTGACTACTTTGCTTCATTTCTCATTTCTGATTCTTTTAAATATAGGTATAAAGGGTGAACTATACGAAGCACCCTGTATTAAAGAATATGGAATCAATGAACTCTTTCTTAAAGTAATTTAAAAGTTTAAATGTTGCCATAGCTAAAAAATTAATAAATTAATCTTTTGAAATTGTTAACGTCCTTTTTTGAAAAGGGTAATGAAGGGCATTAAATAATTTGAACTGTTAAGTTTAGCAGATCGTACATTATCTTATATAGCTAACTGTTTCCACTTATTGAGAATTTGACACTATACGTATGTTAATGTTGTAATTTATATATTAAAATATGTTTATAACATTAGCAAGTATTGTTATTATATATGTTTTTAATAAAGAAGGACATTAAATAATTCAAATTGTAAGATTTAGGAGGACGTACATTATCTCACATAATTAACTGTTTCCACTTTTTGAGAATTTGACACTATACGTAGTGTTGGGATATATCTCTTAAAATATGTTTATAACATTTACAAATATTTTTATTATATATGTTTTTAACTGTGTATAGACATAGTCATATATTTATGTTTATTTTTATTGCAGTATCCGAAAATGATTATTATGTAGTTTTATGATATTATCCATGTTACGTCTTTAATTGCTTTTTATTTTGTTGAGAATTTATGCTTTTTATATTTCGTATAATAAAAGTCAAATAAAAGCACTTTGTTCTTTCTTTTTATTTTCATTTTGAACGAAGGTATTTATGAGCTGATTTTATGTGAAATTTAAATAAACTCGCAATAACATAACAACCATTACCAAGCGTGGTTTTAAGGGATTTTTCTTAATAATATATATATTTATTCTTCAAAAAAAGCGACCCTATCTACCGAAAAACGATGTTATCATATTTATTCGTTGTTTATTTTCTTTTAAAGTGTTAAGGCACTTTGTTTTCGATTTAAGTATGCTGCGTGTTCTCTAATCATTGCTTTTAATATATATTTTTAGAGAACTTCTTAAATGCACAGTGAAAAAAAGTATTTCTTTCTTAAGGGAGTGGATTATTCCATTCTTTTGCTGATTGGGTAAGGTAGGAATAATTTTAATTTTTCTTGGGACAGCCGCACTAAAATTTATCTTAAGATTTCTTACGAAAGCGCTTTTTTATCATTTTTATTTTAAAATTTTACTTTTATTCAGACGTTAACAGACGGTTTGTGGACATTTCATAAGAGTTGCGAAGTAGAAAAATTAAGTGAAATTTTTCTTAAAATATTCTATCATGCAAGAACATGTTATGAGATATATTTTTCATAGACATACAGTTTAGTTTTCTCTTTGTTGACTTTTATGAAACGAAAAATGTAGGTGCAATTTGTTATGAAGAGGCTTTTCTTTAATCACCATCTTTGATTTTAGGAACTTTTTCTCGATGCTTATTTCATGAATCGTATAAATTTCTTTATGAATCATATGAATTTCTTTATGAATGATATGAATTTCTTCATGAATAATATAAATTTCTTTATGAATGATATGAATTTCTTCATGAATGATATGATGAATGATATGAATTTCTTTAGAATTACATTTCGTATGAATTTCTTTATGAATCATTTGCAGTTGTTAATATTATATCATTTCACAACACAATGCCTTTCAAAAAAGTTATTTGCTTTATTAGATAACCCTAATAAATTTTTAGAACTTCTATTCTCTAATGTTTAAAGCGATAAAATTCTGTTAGTAATTTTACGAACGCAATTTAATACTGCACGATTGTCTGTGATGAGGTTTTTTTTTTTAAGTACGAAATTGTTTTTACTGTTGTTTATACAGAGGAAACAGACAGGGATAAAGCTAAAAAAAAATTTTTATATGAATAACTCAAAGCAAACCTTTTTTTTTCTAAAAAAAGAAATCTAAAAAACACATAATTCTGCAATACTAAACTACTTTTCCAAAAATACCATAATTTTTTTTTTTATTGTATCGGCATAATTTTGTCAGAAAAAAATCTTTTGAAATTCCAAAACTCCCCCTATTTTGATTGCGCAACGGCCTTGAATTTTGCATGCTTCAAAAATATTGGTAAACTTTAAGTGAAGGCATTACCTGATTGAAAACGTTATGCGCTTCAAAAATAAACAAATAAGAAATAACAGTCGACATGTTTCAAGCACTTCAAAAATAAGTGCTCATTTTCAACGTGATTCATTCATCTCAGACGTGAAAGTAGAGAAAATGAAAATGATGATGAATCAAAAATTATCTGCTTTCTTTATGTCTGACAAGTCTTAAAAATGGCGCGTCTATTTATGAAACGTGTCCATTTTTATTTCATATTTGTTTATTTTTGAACGAATGAAGTTTCCAATCAAGTAATATCCTACAGCTTTAGTTTCTTGGGATTATTTATTGAATTAACTGAGGGTGCCTAAAAACATATTTATCGTTCCACTTCTCTTTCTTCGACTCTTTTGTTGGTCGAAGGAAGATGCATTCTTTATTAAATTAGTAGGATAAAACTGATGGCAAGGATATGCTTTTGAAACCTATGAAAATTAATAAATTAAAACTCATTAATTTAATTATTAAAACTTAATTAATAAATTGAAACTTATATTTCGTTTCTAAACGCTCACGATTTTTTTTCACTAGTTAGAAGTTATCCTTTTGTGATTATGATGTGCTAAATAGAATTCACTCCTAATCAGAAACTGAAAGCAATTTTACTTTTCATTTATTTTTTTTAAAAAATTTTATGCTAATGTGTTTTCCCGTGTATCTCGCTGAAAAATAAATATTAATGAAATAAAATTGTAAAAAAAATTTCCACTTGTCTTAAGTTTTATGCCAACTAATGTCCAGCCACGTGTATCTCACTTTATTAATAAAGGGTGTCCCAAAATTAAATAGAAAACACAGTTTTCAGTCTTTAGATTGTAATTTTTTCCTTGAATCATAAAGTACATGGGTTAGGGTTATTTATGAAATAACATACTGCACAAATGACCTCTATGGCTTTGTTGGCACATACGAAACTTTTCATGACCTTTCTGCATAATTGTGGCTGAATTTCGTTGATGCAGCGTTTAATTTTCTCTTGTGGTGGTTGTGGGTTTGTTGTTGTAGACCTTTGACTTCAAATAACCCCATAAGAAGAAATCTAATGGTGGTAAATCCCGCGATCTAGGGGACAAATTCTGATCACCGAAACGAGGGAGCACACGACCAGAAAATGTCTCATGCAGTAATTGAATTGTTTCATTGGCTGTATGGCACGTGACACCGTCTTGTTGAAACCACATATTGACCACATCAATAGCATCTAATTTAGACAGAATGAACTGTGATATCATGTCGTGATATCGAGCACCAGTAACAGTTACCGCTTGACCAGCCTCATTTTCAAAAAAAGTATGGTCCAATGATCCCCCCAGCCCAAAACAGTGACTCGTTGAGGGTGCATTTGTTGCTCGACAATCCCATGTGGGTTCTCATGGGGATTAACAAAGCAATGTAGTTCATCGCTTAGGATGATTTTGGTCGAAAAATCAGCACCCACTTGTTTGATGTTTAATAATCCATTCCACGAATTCTCTTTCCTGTACATGATCATTAGACTTCGGTTGTTGTGTTAATTGAATTTTGTAAGCATGGCCACACAGATCTTTTGTGAGTATACGCTGTAGAGAGCTTCTTGAAATTTCCAATTCTTGTCTACGACGCCGAATTGATGTTCATGTGTTTTCCCCAACACTCTCACGCACTGCTTCGACATTGACATTTAAAAGACCATATTTTGATAAAAAATTTCGAACTGTGGCCTCCTATTATTATGATTTTTGAAATATTGTTCAATAATAAAGCACTTTGTTGTATCTTATAACGCTCCATTTTTATTAACCTTAAACTCTCAGCTATAAATTAGTCTTTTTTCAGTGCTGCCAACAATTTACTGCAAAAATGGAGGCAAATTCAAATCTTGCGTTAATTTTGGTGCACCATTTATAATCAATAATATAATAAAATTACAGCATAAACATTAATAAAATGAAATTAAATAGATTTTAACACGTCTCAAGTTTCATGCTAACTAATGTGTTGTCAAGTATATCTCGCTAACAAAAATAAATAATAAGAAAATTTTTAAAAAAACGTAGCATATTAATTAGCATGAAACTTAAAAATACAAAAGTGATTTTAATTCGAAATAACGAAACAAAAATTAAGTATGTACTGGAACTATCTATTTATCTTTTGTGCTCATACCGTGATTAATTTTGTCCCACAGAGGACTGATCGCAAGTCACGATTCCCACTAAATCACTGAAGTCAAGCATCATTGACTACGGTTAGTGAGCGAGTGGGTGACAACAATGATCAGCTTGAGAAGAGACTGAGGATGGGCAGTATCGTTAAACTGTTCTACAGTATAAAGTGCTCTTCTTCGAGCGTAGGTCGTCGGGCTACCAAAGCAAGAAATCTAGTTTCTTCGCTGGGGCCAGTAGGTCCTTCTGTATGACGAAAAAAGCACCGAAGGGTTTTGAGTCGATGCATCGTTCATACATCGTAGCGTCTCTATTTTTCGCCATCTTTAAAGTGACTGTCCTGATATCTATTTCAATTACACATCGATGTTAAAATAAGAAATATTTATTTTTTAATTAATTTATCATAAGCAAATATTTTCCTTGTTTAATAAGTAAACCTTTTTCAAAACCATATAAGTGTGTAAAGAGGTCATTAGCTGTTTACATGAGTCTTATTTAAGCGGTGAAGCCTAATATAAAGAGTTTCTGAAGGCTTTCTTCTCAAGAGTTATAATTATGATATTTATTTAAATCACAAATTTGCTGTTCTATGTGTTAACAAAGATGCTAAATATTTATTAAAAGCATCATTTTGGAATGTTCTTTGCCTGTTTAGACTTAATGCATTTGAATAAAATCTCATGCGCTTTAAAATCGCGCATTTGGTATTTTTTTTTGTCATCATATTAATCGCTAAAAAAGTGTTTATAAAATGAGTTTTTTTTTTTGTAATTTTTTTTTACAAGATTAAAAAAAAATATATTGTTTAACACATCCATTATAGTTAAAAATAATTTTTATGGCATACATTTAAATTTTAGATTAAAATTTTATATCTTTATATGGTCCCCAAAGACAGAAAATGTAAATACAATAGTGTAATAAAATAGTCCCTTGCAAAAAATCAAGATCAAGAAATCTTGATCAAGAGAAAAATCTTGATCAAGAAAAAGGTTTATTGCACGTACTTTGATATTTAATTATTTTTTATTCTCTATGTCAGAGCAGTTTAAATAATCACCAAATACTAATTACTAGCATTAAAATTATACGCAGTTTTAATATCGATTCTGTGGAAATAAGTGGGCTACTGACTATTGCAAGGCTATTGTATTTTTGTACCGGAGAAATTTACTTGATAATAGTAAATTTTGGCTATGAGTTGGCCGCGAGAAATAGCATCAAGGCTGTTAAATGTAGTTAATCTATACCCTTTCCGCACCAGGCTCAC